GGCTACCGGTGACGTCTCCGAACCGGGCGCGCGAGAGGGGCTTCCAGCCGGGTTCCCTGGGAGCAGGTGTCGGAGGTGTTGGGAGAGGGGGCTGAAAGAAAGAGGGGTGCAGAAACTGATGCATTAGATGGGGGTTCTTGGCGAAACCCGGAGGCTGCCCCAGCGCGCATTGGGCCCTGCGTCAGGCCAGGCGGGAGGAAGCGTCCCAGGTACCCTGGGAGCATGCTGGACACTGCGAAGATCGGACCATCAGCAGTCCCGATCGTCACTCGGAATGTGAAGGAAGACCCCACTGAACGAGACCCTGCGAGACTCACCGTCCACCTGCCCACTTCGCGCGGGGAGAGGGTTTGGGGTGGGGTGACGTTTTCCACAGCACTGTGGGTGGCGGGGGCAGGGGAGGGAGTGTGAACCAGAAATCCCATCTTGGTTCCCTTGGCATTCCAGTTTACAGGAAGAAGCCCGTTCTTATAACGGACTTGCTCTCCTCCAGTGTCTGAATGTTGTGTTCAGGGTGGAAAATCTAGGAGGGTTAACATAAAGTTTGAGAAAACACACGCTATTCCTTTAGTAATAGAAAGACGCAGAGTGTTGACGTTAACCAGGAGTATCCTTGATGTTTTAAAATAATGCAAGTCTGACTAGAATGACTCACGTTGCTGATTTATATTACACCTGGGTGTACTTTCCAGTACTACAAGTGAATTGCTACTTCTCTGATAATTATCACTGACACTAATTAAATGCAGCACAATCTGACAGTACAGTATTTTAAGTCAGAAAAAAAAGTCTAAGAAAAATTATTTGGCCCCCTGAAAGCCACTCACCCTGGCCAGGAGAGTAGCTGCGACTCCCAAGACATATTCTAGGACGGCCATTAAACACTCACTGCTTCAAAGCAATTCCATATCACTTCCTCACAGTGCTTAAAGGAACTCAAGGACTTGGACTGAGAAGCTACATCTCAGTTTTGCAAGAAATGCTCTGTAACCTTTGCAATGTGGGCGCTTTGAAATATTCCCTATTCCAACAAAAGCCATTCTTTTGTCATGAGCTGGTTCTAGTGTTTTACTGACTTTTTGCATTTACAATGGTTTTGTGAATGACACAGTCTATATTTAATACGTTGTATCCAAAGTGTTTCTAGTGGTTTGGCTTCCATATTTTCTAATAAAGATTATAATAGTAACTACAGACTATGATAAAAAAAAGTTTGAGGCATCATGACAAAATGGTGTGAGGGCCTCAGTCATCCAAAATATGCAGTGGTCGTAATCATAAATATTGTGTAGTAGCGCTGAGAGACGTTGACGAAGTGATGAGGACAGAATACAGCCAGGTACATGAAGTTACATGAGATTACATGCAGAAACCACATGGGATTACAAAGCTTGCGCCAGGAAGAGACAGTAAAGGATTCATACAAACACAAAAGACTACAGTGGTGTTCCGGTACTGAGTGTTTTTTCTTTCCTTTAAATATTATTTCGCTTTATTGTTGTAATGTTGTTTTTGCAATAAATAAAGGTTAGAAAGAACATCCTACTAGCAGTTACGGGAAAATGTAGGACTCTTCAGATATTTTTCCTTATTTATGCCAATATTATACTAGGTTCACATCTCAGAAGTAACAGTGAAATTGGCAGAAAGAAAATATTATAGTAAATAATTTGCTACTTTCTAAACAGAAATTCTGATTCAATTTGGATTTTGACATTACTAACAATATTATTTTCGCCCAATTATCGTCTAGATCATTATGATGAAATATAATTGTTTCATGGTTTTCCTTGGAGCTGATTCTTGGGATAATCGACAGTAGAATTTTCCAGTAGTTTGCATTTTGTTTATAAAGGCACTATTTCCTCTACTGGACAACTAACTCATGGCCCTTTTAACTTCATAGTTTCTAATGTTATATACTCAATGATATTATTAATTCTTGATTTTATAACTTCTGCTTTCAAGTACAGCATTTTGTTTTGCTAAGATATAGAAACCTCTCTTAGAGGAAACCAGTTTAAGAAACATTGTGGACAGCAGAGGGCAGCAAATTTACTAGACAAATAAATATATTTATTAGCTATATAACTTCACTTTGACTTTTACCTTAAGAAAATATAGAACAAATGGATATTTGAGTCCTGATTTCTAGAAATATATTTCTATGATAGAATATGAAAAACAGAGCAGGATATCTATCATCTTGCACCATATCTTAGATTGGCAATTTTCTATTAATTATGATTTTGTTGACTTAAAATAAAATTTATAATCACAATGAGAAACGATCTAGAATGCATATCAATAGAAATTAGCAGAGAAAAGCACCGAAAACAGTTATAGCTGGTAATTACCTATGACTTTGGAATGTAATAAGAGACAATGAGCAGAGCGTTTACGTTAAAGCAAGTGTAAGTGGCAGAACCAGAATTTTCTCTTTGCTATTTTTGATCTATTGAATCCCCTTAGTCATGCAATAATCAAGAGTCCCCTAGCAGTCCAGAGACACGGCTAAAGTACACAGAAGCCTCACAACGGTCGATGACACACAAACAAATGGCCGGCCAACAGATGGATATGAACGCTAATGATCTCACTAGTTCAACCCTTTCCACAAGGCACACAAAAGTTCCTTTGAGCTCAGTACTAATATTAACATGCAGAAACTTATTTAGGGGGCATGATTATATATCACTGCAGCTGCTTGTAGAAGACAAGAGAGTAAAGATATTGGTGCACACCTTGTTTTCTTTTTTTCGTTTAAAAAACCTCAGGAAACTTCTGCTTAAAACTAACTTTGTCTCAGCAGTGCAAGAGGATGTGTTTAAGAAAAGCTAAAACTATAAATCACAGGTGACCCTTATTTAAGTGCTACCAAGGGCAAACAAATTTTAAAGTTATTATGTCTTCTACAATTTAAGAGCATTTAGTTCCTTTGTGGGTATAGAAATTCTACTGTTTTCATTCTTCTCATTGAGGTATATGCTTTCTAAATGTTGTTCCAAACAGCAAGAAGTGCCAATGTATTTTGTTCTTGAAAACTGTGCTCATTAGATTTTAAGCTTTAACGGCATTGGCTGCCATGTTTTATATACTTATTGTGGTTCCACAACCAATGCTATATATGCTGTTAGTTTGGATAATTCTTTATGTTCAAACCACCAGATGAAACTCCCTAATTTTTTATAGCTTAAGCTTTCACTGGTAATCTTTATTCATAAAGAAACTTAAGTTCACTAAGGGCTAAAATTGCATTTCAATTCTGCTCAGTGTTTTCAATGACTATTTCCATCTGCTTTTACCATCATGCGTGGGTTTAGTTATCATAGGGAAAGGTAACATTTTCGTATTATTTTCTATTTTATCAAGGGTAGAGAGGTCCGAAACAATGCTTTGTTTTAAAAAATTTTCTTTGACGTGGTCACTTACACACATATCCAAATTAGATGGGATGTAAAGTTTTTATTAACATAATCCCAGCAGAGTTTTTATGATTATCTCATGGAATAAATAAATTGTGGAAATATAGTTCTGATTTGTGGTTCAAGTCAGAGATAAATTCCTGGTGGTTGCTAATAACTTTTCTACATCAAACATTAGGCCAGTTTAGTCAACATTTCTAAATTCATGGTCAAATGAATATTTATGAGTTTCAAAAAATGCATTTATCTTTACTTTTCTGTTAAAGGACATAAAAGCATATGCTGTTGCTTCCTAAGGAAGAAGGAGATCGTTTTGCCAGGGACTGAGGACGACTTTTGTTTAAACAGTACGGCTCCTTCTGCCTCCTTTGGGTCCCACGGAATCATGGAATGAGTGTGTCACAGCTACTAACAGCAGTGTGTCGAATCCCTCAAGAATGCTTTGATAGAGACCCACTGGGCCTTTTGTATAGACGGAGAACAAGGATTTAGCCTCTCACCAACTTTACCCACTAATGGCAAGGGTAAAACCTGTGTTTATTCATTCGCTTAGTCACTCAATAAATGAGCAGCTGCTGAACACCTACTATAATCGGGCATACAACTGGTGCAGCAGACATGGTGTCTTCAAGGAGTGTAAGGTCTCATAAGGAATATGGACAAGCGAACAGGTCATTACAACCCAGTGCAGAAAGGCCCCTGAGGTGATGCCGTGTGCCAGAAGCCGATAGCAGGGGGGAGCTTCAAACTTAATGTTGAGGAGGCAGGGACAATTCTCTGGGGAGAGTGGGACTCGACGGAGACTTGGAAGATGGAATGAAACTTCCTGTGTGAAGGAAGAGGGCTTTCTGGCAGAGAGAACAGTCTGTGCAAAGGTTGGGCCAGGAGGGAATTGCAAACTCTCCGTGTAGCTGGAACTTAGTGAGCCAGGGAGGGTGGGAAGAGAGGTGAGGCTGGAGAGGTCAGCTGAGGCCACAGCTTTGATAAGGTCAAGTCTTTGAGAAATTATGCCCAGGGGTTTGGATTTTGCTGGATACTGAAGAGCCAGCAAAAAGTTCTGAATTGGAGGTTTTATGAAGATTTTCTACAGATGCCCTAGCTGTGGTGTGGATGCTAGATAAGAGGATGGGGGAGGGGTGGTAATCAGGTGACTGTCATTGCAGTCCAGGCATGGACGTCTGTAGGGAAGAGGGGCAGTGGCATTTCTCTTAGTGGGCAGGACTTTGATTCACTAGGGGACAGGGGAGCCCAAGATGACCCTCAGGAAAACTGGGCAGAGGGAGGAGTCATGGAGGGAGTTGAAAGGGCGTACCACTTGCCTAGCTCTTGTGCATGTTTTTCAAAATTTGCAAACGAAAAGGGCAAAGGGATGCTCCCAAACCACTTGGAAGTCAAAAGACATGAGAATGTAGGCCTAAGACCTCAAGCCACTCCCCGTGAGCTGTCCATTTGCTGCTACGTGACTCTCATCTGGCAACCTGCTCCTCATCTTCCGCATCTTAGATGTTCAAGACACATCAGAATCTCACATACACTGTCAGCAGACGGCCTGTCTCTGCGGTGCCACCGCCCACTTGGCTTTTTGCTCTTTTCTGACTTACAGAGGCAACTGAAACAAGTTCAGGATTGGCTTTTCGAAAAAGATAATAGACGAGTCCTACAATAAAAAGGCCAAAATGGCACCTCTGACCAGTTCAAGTCACTTTGCTTAAGGCTGACCCTCTGCAAAATTGTTTAGGAGGGCTACAAGTTTTGTTTGTTTTCCTTTTTTCCATAAGATGCCTGTTTTCATTTCTTTTTTAGTATTTAAGTTTCTTCCACTTGTTTTTTCCTGCGGCTACAGAGATCTTTCCATACCCGAACCTCTATCAACACCCATGGCTACAAATCTTCCTGTCTCTTACAACCACCAAGTATACTGGTCTTGTACGGTAACTCCAAGGGCCTAGGTTTCTGGTAAAGCAAATCAAGTATATTTTATTATAAATTAGCTAATAAATCAACTAATTTATATAAATTAGCTAATAAATCAACTAATTTATAGATTCAACTAATTAAAGTGATAATGACCACTAGCTAAATATGTTCCTACTCGGCTGACCCTGCGGTGGGTGTAGAACAGTAATCAAAGGTACCAGGCATGAGTATGCCTGGGCTCAGCTCCTCGTTCCAGCTGCTACCCGTTCTGCGACCCCTGAGCAGTTAGGTAATGTGCATGAGTCTCTTCATCTTTAAAATAGAAATGGCATGTTTCTATTTTTTAGGGTTGTTGGAAACTTTGCAATGAAATAAGGCATACATTGCTAATTACAGAGCTTGGCACATAGTAAGTGCTCAACAAAGATTTACAACTATTGTTATTGCTGTTATTACTAATTTTTACCCAAGATATGAGTAACGTGGGCGTTTTGGTCACAGTGATGGGTCCAAGGAACAAACCCTAGGAGGAGTAAAGGAAGAATGTTTTAGATGTGCCTCTATTTTAATAATAAAAGAGGTTGTTTACTTTGTACCAACGCAGATCTAGTCTTGCATAGACATTAAATATAGACTTGAAGTCCTTGAGGGAGTCACTGTGTCTTGATCACCATTGTGCCTGGCACATAGTTGGTGCTCAACCAATTTTGTTGAATAAGTAAATAATAGAAATATCCTGACGGGAAAGCTTCTAAAATCAATCTTCTTTCCTAATACCACAGCTACAAAAGCATTCCAATAAAATCACGATGTTTGTTATCCTAAGAGTCTCATAAATGATTAGAATGATTAGTTAAGTTTTGTTATTTACATTTAAATCCGAGATTTATTATTTTGCTGTTTTCAGTTTTATGCAATGGTGACATTGTATTACTTTCAATGCTTATTCTGGAAATTTCCAAGTATCATGATATTTCCTTATATAACCTAGTAGACGGTTTTATAAGTTTGCAGTGGAGCCTGCAAATTGGAGATCTTTTTTTCTTTCAGTTTTCCTGTCGAAGTTCTCTTACTCTGAGAGACATGAGTTATTTGAAGAAAGGCAATGAAGGCTTAGATAAATACTGTGTAAGAATTATGTGGTTATAATGTTTTTGAACATGGTTCTCAAGAACACAACCACAAATACAGGGTTTCAAAAACTAAATCAAGGATGCTCATGTTGGGTGTGGTGAGTCAAGGGTTTCCAATTAAATCTCAGGGTTAGCCTTGCAATACATAAAAGTCTGATTTTGGGGGGGAAACTCTTGAAGAAGCTAACAAAGAAAACTCTTTTTCTTGTTCATTGACACCCAAAATTATTTTGAAGCAAACATGAGAGTAACTGCAATTGCCATCAAATGTTTTTCTAGAAGCAGGTTTGGATGGAGAGGCAGAGGAATTGCAGAGTTTCAAAGAGATCCTAAGGGAACTGACTTCTGAGGGGAAGCAAAGGACAACAGAAAGGAGGGCCGGGAAGGAAAACACAGAGAGGGCCAGGGAGGAACCCATTAGTTAGCCTGCACTTTGAGGAGGCAAGTGGCTCTTCTCAAGTTTACATATCTTTTTGTTTGCACATAATTAAATAAGTAATCGGAAAATATACTGCAAAGTGAAATAGAATCTTGATCCATTAGAATGACAATCAATCAGGAAGCTTGAGGCTTGGTAACCTGAGAGGGATTTAATAAGAATCAATTAAAACAACTTGTTATAGAAAGGGCATTTGGAAAGTTTCCCCTTAAGCCAAAGACACATTTTAATATGTATATATGTACATATATACATTTAAATGTATATATATACATTTTAATATGTGTGTATATATATATAAACCAAGGGATAGAACTGCTTAGGTCCATGTGTACTGGGGAGATTCACTAATGACTTTTCTCATTAGCAATCTATAATAGCAATCAAGTGTTGCATTTATGAGGGTTGCATTTATGTAAAAAAATTGAGTTCAAGTTCATACTTAGGTACAGTTACAGTTATCTGCAAATGAATCCTACACACACACACACACATACACACACGCACACACATATTTGGTCAGTAGAGACAATATATTAGTGCGTCTTTCAGTTCTGAGATGAGATGCACAATTATGACAGAAAATAAACATGATTTCTAAATAATGCCAAATAAATAAATTACCTTTGTAACAAAAATTGCTAAATGACATGAAATTCAGTTTTATTTGGGAACCCTGGAAGCCCAGAGAGCTGGCAGTCTAATGACAAGTGCTTACTGGTCTTTCGTGCTGCAGAATTGACGACTTGCCAGGTTCATACTCAAAAATACTTCTCGGCTCAGACCGGAATTTTCTTGTATCCACTTTTCTGTCTGGAGGGTCCCAGTCATGCCTAGAAATAAACAACAAATCACACATTAAAATAATCTCATATGCTTAAAGTAATCATGTAAAACTACTTATATCTGTTTTCAAAGTTAATTTTAGTATAGATTTTTAAAAAACGATCTCAGGATAAAAAATTAATCCGCAAAAAATACCACATTTATGTTTTGTTTGACATAAATGACTTAAAGAAAGTGAACTCTTCTATTTCATATTTCATTTTTCTTTCTTTTTCATATGCCCTTCCTCCTGATGGCTCCAAATTTCACACAGGAGTTTGTAGACAGGCAGACAGTGGCCTGTTATTGAACCCCTGGATCCCTAATGGCAGCCGCATATGCAGGTGTTCAAAGTAAGTGGCAGCTGCTCTGTTAAGCTTTATGAGTTTAACCCACCACTCTGTACCCTGGTATTTTTGATCCAAGATGACAAGGAGTAATGTACACGCCATGTTTGATCTTATTTTTTGCAGTGGCATCATAGTTGTTCTGGGAAAGTACAGAAGTGTCATGTGAGTTTGCATGCAGGCTGTGTGGCACAGAAGAGCCTCTTTTGGTATTAGCCTTGTAAAAGCAGGGACAAACATCTCACTCATGGGAATCAGTGCTTTTTCCTGAACTGATATCCTTCAAGGGGCTGTCAGAGAAGGACTTACAAAGTAGAGTTTTTCTAGGCAGCTGGAGCTAAAAGAAGAAGGCTTCCTTTGAGCCTATCAGTTTTGGGAAGAAGGGTCTTCTGACTATAGATTGGGTTAATTCTGATTCCACGGAATAGAATTAAATTCTGACTTCACGAGGTTGGAAATAGAAGCGCTCTAAGAGACAGAATTAGGGGCAAGTCCGAACTTTCTATAAATTGCTGAGTGATGTTCAGCAGAAACCTTAAACCTTTTCAATCTTAGCTTTTCCAACTGTGTAAAACACAGTTAGTAAAAGTGTGTTCTCTTTCCTTGCAGAGGAGTTGTAAGCATTACATAGACAATATATGTATATAAAAGATATCTGGACTATTTTAAGGGATTATCATATTTATTAATAAGATTTATTTTAGCTGGGCTCAGTGGCTCAGTCTGTAATCCCGTGCCTTTGGGAGGCTGAGGTGAGTGGATTGCCTGAGTCCGTGGGTTCGAGACCTGCCTGGGCAACTTGGCGAGACCTTATCTCTACAATAAATCAAAATATCAGCTGGGTGTGGTAGTGAGCGCCTGTAGTTCCAGCTACTTGGAAGGCTGAGGGGGAAGGATCGCCGGAGCCCGGGAGGACGAGGCTGCGGGGGCTGGAAGCAGCTACTGCATTCCAGTCTGGGTGACAGAGTGAGACTCCAACTCAAAAAAAAAAATTTATCTTAACTAAACACATAGGACAAATAAAACAGTTTAATCTAAATGCTAATTTTGATTCCTTTTTAGGGCAAAGATACTGTTTTATGTCATGACAATTGTTTCTCAATTTTAAGGCATCATCTAAATCATCCTGAGGAGACTGGAATTAAAATGGAAACCCCTTCACACATGATGTGTGTCTATTTTCGTGGTATGCTATTCCTTACATGATCACCAATAACTCTTAGTGGTACAATAGGGTGTTGAATATAATTTTGGGGGGATGGGTATGACAAATGATTAATAACCAGTACTAACAAATAATACTTTTTATATTCTTCGGATTTTTTAATTGCAAGTATAGCATAGGCTTTTAATTAGAGCTAGTTTTGAATCCTGGCTAGAACATACTAGCTGTATGAGCTGAGAAAGTCGCTTTATTTTTCTAAACTGCAGCTTCTTTGTCTCTGAAATAGAACATATCTCATTGGGTTGTTCTCAGAATCAAGTGATATAATACATGAAAAGTACTTAGCCTAATGCTTGGCTCATAGTGAGCTCTCAGTAAAGGTTCCCTATAAGTAGACATCTTAGTCATAATCCTAATAAAAATGACACAATAAAAGTGTGTTTTAAAATTCTTATTTTAGTGTGAGTAGCTTGTATAAAAATATTTCAGTGAAGAAGTGAAAACTAGTATCAGTTCCCAAAACTGGGGGAAATGAATCACAGATAGACACTTATTAACTAATGCCTTATTTATGATTTATGAATAATTTCCCTGCTTTCAAAAAGATACTTTATTCATAGACACGAGGAAACAGAAAATTAACCACCTAGTCTCTAACTTGGTACACCAATGGAAGTACATGTCAGTTATTTCTACTTATTTATCATTTGCATGCATTTATTGATCAAAAAGTAGAAACTGTGCTCATGCTACTTCAAGTCCCATTGAAGGCACTGATATCAAGGGCACAATAAACCAAGACTGTGATAACGTTTGCCACAATCTCAACAGAGGAGATCAATCTCATGCATGTATGAACTAATGGGATCCTACAGATATTCCCTCTGTGAGGTGTGCACTGATTCTTCCACTGAATAGCATGTGTCTTAATTTTTGTCCTAAGTATAATATAGGCCACTTTAGGGGAAAATGCCTTACTTTTCTGTTGAAGACCGATCTCTTGGTCGAAGTGGTGGGACTGGAGGTGGAACCTGTGGGGGAGGCACTGGGGAGGATGCGTCCTTAAAGGCATTGGTGCCATTGTCAGAGTGGCTTTTGGAAAGAGGTCTGTAGGTCTGGGTCTTTGCAGCAGGGTGTGACTGAGCACTGTAGGGAGGGTTGTGCAGACCTTTTATGAAAAACAAACAAACACAAACACAAAACAGAAGCACGTGACATTTTAAAAGTGCATCAAATCATCTGTACCCTTCAAAATATTCCATTGATTATGCAAAAATTACTATCAATAAGCATATTCACAGTGTATACATTAGATGATAGTTATTTATTAATTTACTGATATCATTACTTTGCTAATCTTAGTTAATTCATAATTTATTCTATTCACAAGTCCTGATTACAGTAAATCTTTGTCGATTATTTCAGAATTAGTAATAATTCAGACTGGTCCTAGGTATAAACTTATGAGTACTCCAAAAATGTTCTCTTTGATCATATAAATTAATAACATAGCTAAGATTTCAGAAGTAAGATTAAGAATACTAAGGATTGCTTCTGAATCTTATAATACATTTAAAACTCTAACATATGACAATTAATATGTTAATTTCAGTCAAACAAACTATTGCACAGGTTGTGTATATAAGGTGCCATGCAAGAGACAGAGAAACGACCCTCAATATGCTCACAGCACATTTGGAGAAATGAAACACAATAGAATTATAATTGAAAATAACAGGTAAAGTACAATAAAGACCAAATGAGGAAAACACATATTAAGAATTAAAAGGTGTTAGAAGGTGGTGGATTGATCAAAGAGGATATTTGGGAACCCTGGCAACTGGAGTTAACCCTGAAGGATTAGTTTAGGTGGGTAGGGGAAGAGGGTAGCAGAACAGTATAGAAAACAAAAGAAGGCAGAAAAGGGCAAAACATAAAGCTGTGAGATGTAAGGTTAGTAGTAAGGGAAGAGACTAGTTGCAGTTGTTTTGTCTACTGATCAGATAAAACCTGGAGGGCTCTACGAGGTGATATGTAACTTATTTATCACTTACAAGGTATAAGTTCCACTCACTAATTACTAATGTGACGCAAACTTCAAAATTAAAAAAATTTATAAAAATTCTGAATTTCTCATAACCTCAATATTTTGGGCTGAATCTATTTGCACTCATCTGATTCTCCTGGAAGTCCACGCAAATTTCCACAGTGAATGAAAAGAGACATCTACACTTATGGTTTTGCATTGATTTCACAGGCTTCAGCCTTTGAGCTAAATAAAGGGGGTGATTTTGGGGTACCCAGACCCAGGGATGAAAGTTGAGAGAGGCTGGATGCGGTGCCTCATGCCTATAATCCTAGCACTTTGGAAGGCCAAGGTGAGAGGATTGCCTGAGCCCACGGGTTTGAGACCAGCCTGGGCAAATTGGTGCGACCTCATCTCTACAAAAAAAAAAATTAGTTGGGCATGGGGTACATGCCTGGCTCCAGCTACTTGGAAGGCTGAGGCGGAAAGATCGCCTGAGCCCAGCAGGTCAAGGCTGTGATGACCGTGAGTGTGCCAACTGCACTCCAGCCTGGGCGAGACAGTGAGACTCCAACTCAAAAAAAAAAAAAGAGAGAGAGAAAGTTGAGAGAAACATCAGTGGACCTCCTGGAATCATTTGGGGGAGCCAAGCCCTAAAACCAGAGGTCTTACAGCTTGCTGAGCTTGTCTTCCTCATTTTTCCTCTATTTGTTTTTGAAGACCAACAGCACAGTCCCTAACAGCTAAAGGGCCTGAATGCGGGTCTCCAGGTGTGCGGGAGGGGACAGCCACGAGGGGTCCCAGGCTGACTGGGCTGAGGGGAACCCCTGAGTCAGGTCACAGCTGCTGAACCTTGGACAACTGTGTATCAGCTCTGACCCTGTGGCTGGGAGGAGAGGAGGCCTGGGTGGAATCCCTCGATGCAACACTCAGGAAAAAGTGACGAAGGGACACAGATTTAGGGGTCTTCCCTTCAGCCTGCAGACACGTCACGAGGTCCCAGGGCACTCCAATTCAAGTTGCAGTGCCCGAAACTGAAGTCATTTTATTGTGACCACTGGCAACTCTGAGTCAGAAAAGCAGCCTGGCCAAGTGGGATTTTAAAAAAATCTTTCAATGAATGGGTTGCATTTTGGGCAAAAGCAGAGACAAGGTCACAGAATACTTTGCTTGACTTGTTTTTTGTGAAGTGTATCTGAAAGATCTTATGCAATTGTAATCACTCTCTCTGCAGATAAAAGAAGATCTTTATCTTATTTTGTACCCTGGGTTACAGTATGTTCTTTCAGGCTGTCCTTCACACTTTGGTTAAACATTCCTGAAGCTGAGAACAAACTAACAGTGGGAATGAATGAGATAAAACTGTATTAGTTCTCATTTCCATGAGAAAAGATCAATCCTTTTGTTAGGCATGCTCTGAGAAAAGAAAAAAAAAAAGTATCCAACCAATTATATGATCTGAAAACTTGTGCTCAAACAGAAAAGTAAAAAAAGTGACTGGGTAGTTCTTCCAAACATTGCTGAGCATAATATATTTACTGCAAGCAAGGAAACCCGTCCTACCTGCATTGTATGTATAAGGAGTATTATACATGTCTGTGTCATCATCTAGAAAATGAAACATAAATATTATGGTAATATAGATTCGGTCACCACAGCATAACAAGACAGTAGAACTTCAGAGAAACAACAGGAATTTGTTAGGAAAGCAGCGTACTTTTTTTTCCTTGTTCATAGCACCGCTTTTCCCAATATTGCTTTTCGCTGGGCCTCTACAGGTCACCCCTTCTTGCTTGTAACATATTTGCTTGCTACCCTTCTCTTTACTTGCCCCTGGATTCCTGTCTCCCCTGGATCACAAATCTCCTTCACTAAGTGCTTTAGAGATCACTTGTCAACTGAGCAGAGCAGGCTCAGTCAGCCCAGCCTCTCCTCACAGAGGAACGATGCATCTGTTTATCCAGCAAACACACCGGTTTTAAGTTGTGGGTGAGGAAGAATGGAGGCATAAGCCCAGACACCTGCCAGTCCTCCAAGGGGCCCCTCAGAAGAGGCTTAACTGACAACTCAGGGCTGAGGCAGAGGCACAGAGACCTGTGATTTCAGAGTGGTAAAGGCGGATAGGAGGAATGGTGAAAGGAAACGGGCCATGGAATTTGCTGGGGTCCTGACATTTTGTGCGAATGAAGCCTACACAAAAGAGAAGTATATATCCTATATATATATATATATATATATATATAAAACCCACAAGGGTCTGATCAGAAAACAGAGCAACACACCCACCTGGCTTGTGCACCATGTGAATTTGCTTAAACATCGTCTTATACCAGTCCTTTGGCCGGTCAACTGTCTGCAATACAGAGTGTCATTAGTTACAAGTCAACATTGCTCTTAAATGTTTTCACTTCTATATTTTTATCTTTTTAATAACATTTCAATTCTGTGATATAACATTTTCTGACTCTTTACTACGACTTGATGACAATTTCCGCAATTTATTCAGTTATGTGTGCAGTTTGTAAGTATATTATCCTGTGTTTGAATTGAGACTGAATTGCAACATTCAATGTTATGGCTTTATTTTTTTCAGTTATTAGCTGTGCTCAGCACCTGTTGATATTTGTACAAACATATTTATATAAAAAGTTTGCTTAACTCCTTTTTGTGATAATTGTCATTATCCTTAAAATTTTTTATTAAATGTTCTGTCAAGACATTATTCTTATTTTTAAATTTGCATTTATTTATTTTTTTGTGCTGGGTTCTCACTCTGTCAACCAGGGCCTCACTCTGTCAATGTGGTGGCAGAATCATGGCTCACTACAGTCTCGAGATCTTGGGCTCAGGCAATCCTTTTGCCTCAACCTCCTGAGTAGCTAGGACTACTGGTACATGCCACCATCGCTGGCTAATTAAAAAAAAAAAATTGTAGAGGTGAAATCTCACTATGTTGACCAGGCTGGCCTCGATCTCCTGGGATCAAAGCAATCCTCTTGCCTTGACCTCCCAGAGTGCTGGGATTACAGGTGTGAGCCATTGCGCCTAGTTAAGACATTATTTTTAGAACTAACTAGGGAATATTTTGATTCAATCTGTATTCTGGTTAGGTTAGACTTAGAGAAATAAATTTGGTATTTACTAGTCTATGTTTTTAAAATACTGAATGTAGTAGACAATCCAAAATACTGGAGCACATTTAAAAATGTAGATATTGTTTCAAATAATTTTAAACGGTAAAGTGTCCACGACATTTGCCTTGCTAATTGCAAGTTCCTTGAGAGCACAGGTTCCTTATGCATCCCAGGCCTTGGACATGATAGGAATAGCAGGCCGTAGTAGAAAGGTGAAATAAATGTGGATTCTGGAACTAACATTCCGGTCTTGGTTCCTTTAATTATTGCTTAATACTTCCTAGCAATATGAATCTGGGCAACTTAGGCAACCTTTTTGAGCCTCAGTTTTCACCTAAAATGACATAATTCTATCTAAGTCATGGGTTTGTTATGGAAATTGAATGAGACAATGTATACAAGAAGGTCTGGAACAGTACGTAGACTATAATAATGTCAGTAAATAATAACACCAGGAAACCTCAAATACTTGCAGAATGAAATTATGAATGGATTTAACTTATTGGATAGAGCTCTACCTTATTGTGCACCTGTGAAAGTAGATATATACCTTTATAATCATGATTTAAGATTCTTCTTGGCAAGATTTTTACCCAAACTCTTTCAGAGCTACTTGGGCAACAAACTTGACCCTTCTGCATACAGTAACTAAATATTCCAGATTTTCCAAGACAGTTCTCTTGATTTAAAAAATTTTGTGGCCTGATCCAAAAATAATCTTGTACTTGTTAGACTGAGCTTTGATTTAGATTTTATAACTTGATTTTTTTTTCCAGACAAGTCGTCACTGTACTTTTTATTTAGATATGGAGGGTTTTGTGCTATATCTAAATTTATTTTGATCTCTGGGAATATAAGATTCTGGTAATCACCAAATTAACATTAAAGGCTACTTGACTTTTTTTGTGAATCACCCCTTTATTCTAGGCTCTTACTATGGAAAGATTGAGGGGATTATTGATTGACCTCTAGTGAAAGCAGGGGGCTGCTATAATGATGGAGCAACAGTCTAACTACTAGTTGTGGCTTTAAGTAAAGTAGCTGAACATGGATCTATAAAGGGGGTTCATTTTTATAAAAGGCCGACTTCTCTTTTATTAAGCTTCATTTCTTTTACAGTATTAAAGCAACAGAAAATAAGACATACCATTATACAAAAATATTTTCCTGGACACAGCCAATGAGAGCGAGGAAGCCTAATAAGTAAGTTCTATCACTGTATATGGCAATGCATCTTGACAGATAGGGTTTTTTCCCTCACTTGCTGGAGGGCCTATATCAGGTAGGATATCACTCTTGTGCCATCTGCAAGCTTTATATGGTGAGCACACAGATGCTAGAAAATGCCCCGTCGGTTGGCAGAGGAGAATATGAAGCTGGTAAAACTCTATGTCCCTTTCTAAAACAAGTACTCTAAGCAGTTCAAATTCCTTCTTTAAATGCCATTGTGGAGGTTGTTATACCTAATAATTAGATTAAGAAGTCTACTTAAATTTGAGAAGGTTTACTTTGTATGTGTTCTTCAGAATCATTTTGTATAAAAAATAACTATTAGTAATTCACTACACAGCTGTTTTCTTGACTGAATAGACCTGAATCTTTCCATTCCTACAGTTTGTAAGACATCAGAGCTCTTCACGGATTTAACACACAGAGATTTCAAAAAAGGGGGGGAAGACATATTTTCTACATATCGTTATACAGTGATTCTGTTCTATTTTTGCCTGTTTTCAGCTTTGAAAATGCTCAAACAAATATATTCAAGGTAGAAAAAAAAAAGAATCTCGTATTTCACTTAACTAGCTGGCCTCTATTACACAGTCTCATGGGACCTGAGCCCTAGCGATTTTTGTTGTTGTTTTCAAGAATGGCAGTGAAAGGCTAACTTGGACACCCCAGGTCACAGGAGAGAAGACAATGTGGTGAGCTGCTTCCTTTCATTAAAATGCCCCAAAGTACTATTTATTGACTCTTGGCTTTCTACAGTGTCTAGATCACTTTACAAAATTGTGTTTCCTTGATATATGCTGGCTGTCTAACATGATGCATTAATATGGTATACTGAGACAGTACTACCTGTGGCATATACACTGTGCAGAAAGCTAACACGAAGCAATGTGAGTCTGACAATCATTACTTTCTACAAGAATGAGAAAGAAAAACAACTTCAGAGATTTGTGGCCTGCTATGGCTCAGAGATGGCCTGACTCAACATTTATAAACACAGCTATACTTGGGATGTGCTCTGTAGGGCTGCAAATAGTACATGTGAACAGGAGAAGAGTCTTCACAGACCTGCACCTTCTTTGTAAGGTTTCAAAGCTCTAAGTAAGAGCACAGTTGTACATAAAATTAGAGCTCCTTTTAAGGAACTTCTGAATCGTTTATATTTTATTTTCTATTTTCAGAAGAGAAGCTAGCACTTAATGTTTAGTGTACTTGTTTGCTTATGCATACCCAAGCATGCTTTTGATTTGGCAGTAAACAATATAAAAATTTTAATACTACTTCATTTCCATTAACTATCTTTAGTATCTCAGTCTGTCCTTTTAAAAACTAATAAAGCAAAGCCTTGCTAGTTAAGGAAATTACAACTTATGGATTGAAAAAAAGGTCCATGTTTGCATGTCCATTTTTATATATCATGTATTGACTTAAAAATACACCCAGAGATCTCTGATGAAATCCTTTCAGACAGAATCTATAAGTACACAGAAGCAGGGATCTCTTAATCTGTGTATATACTATGCCTCAAAGGTCACTGAGATAAAACCAGTGACATCATGCCTGTCTGTCCCTACATTACTGAGAAAGTAATGCTATATCCTTACCCTCTTAGAAAAAATTTTCAAATTTTACTATTTTGAGTCAGAAATCCTAAAAGGGAAATGAACGACAAAACACCATCTCCAGAAACATGCAATTGACATAAGATGAAGAATATTAGTTACTATCCTTGAACTTCTGTTTGTCACTTAAGTATGACAATCATCGGTGCCAAGACAGACTGTTAGGACTTTGTAATTAGTCACATTCAACATTCCTACCATCTAATGAGTCTAAAACCCTAGCAACTGTTGTACAGATTTACTTTTTGGCCTCCAATTTTAATATAGAGGCTTAGAATAACCCATTTTTAACTCTTCTCTCTGTATCTCAAAGGCATAATCCCAATATAAAAAATGCAAATTCCAGGAGAGAAGAAAACCCCAACACTCGATTGTCAGTTGTTTTTGACTGTTTCCAATCTCACCATTGCTTTTTTTCTGTCTCTCCCATTCTCTGGTCTGTTCCTTATTGTCATTGCATGCTCCCCCCCACCCCAGGTCTGCATTCCAGGGAAAGGGCTCTTGGCAACACCCCAGCGCTTTAAGTGGGGACTGCAGGTGAAACCAACGCCCCCGGGCTTCCTCCCCGCCTCCCCAGGTTCACCTGCAGAGGTGCTGTGGCTCTCATCCTGCCTCCACCGGCTTCCTTCTCCCTGTCAGCACAAGCTTTCTCTTCCAGTGACTTGGTCAGCGAGCAGCTCCCTGCCCAGCTCTCAAAAGCTGCCTCTGCTACTGCTCAGCTTTGCCAGAAGGGGCTGCCCTGACACACTGAGCTCTGGCGGAGTTTAAAGACGAGAAAAAAATCCAAACACTTTCACTGATCATCCCAGGAGCGCTCTCAGCAGGCGCAGTTAAAGAGGGACATTGAAATGTGTATTTTTCTTCAGGCAGTTTTTCCTTTCCGTGGCATTAACTTCCTTCACTCCAATCATCTCAGCTCCCAACTCCCAATTCACAGCTCCCAACCTCCCGGTGTTAACATGCATTTGTTTCAAGAAACAAATAAACTACTCGTTTATTCGCAATGCATGTGGGAATTCTATGCAGCCCAAGAATTCCCACTCTCCTGTCTTCTCTCTGTTGACCTAATCCTCATTGGTAAAAGGTAAAAACAACAAAAAACCCCCCACAACATAGTTTTATCACTTAACAAAAATCACAGTTTTCACGATTTCTACTTTGGTGGAAAAACAGACTGTGTAATTGTCTCTGATAGACAGCCTTCTTTCTCTGCCACACACAGCACAACATTCATGAGAACTCAGATGGCATGGAGGGCAATCCTCATTATATAAGACCCTAGGAATGCACAAAGCCACGGACAATTCGTTCTTTGTGGAGTCTGTGCACAAGCCCAGAGAGACGCACATGCTGGCATTTCCTACCGTTCTAATTGCTGTGGGGATTCCGGATTCATCCACCGGCCCGATTCCCGGGTAATGCGGGGCTTTGATGACTGTCACTCTCCTCTCCTCCTCCGAGGATCTGTACAGTGGGATCGAGCTGCCTGTGGTACCGTCCAGAGACTGTGCATGCTGGGGATAAGTCTCTGTGGAATCTGTGCCGAAAAGGCGGTAAAGGCAATCTATCAGATTCACAAGCTGTCATACATTGATGGCCTCTCTCATGGTGTGCTGCCCTCAACCGTAACGTAGAGTGCATATTTCCACCACTATCTCCTTTGACTCACACTCCTCCCATCTGGGCCACCTATTGGCAGAGGATGCCGTGAAGGGAACAGACCTGTGGTGACAAGGACCTGTGGAGGTCTTCACCACTGGAGGAAGAAGGCGGAGGAAGAAAAAATGACTGTGGCAGTCACGGTGCTAAGTCACACGACGCATGCACCCTCTCACCTTATCGCTCGGGAGCCTTAGGGATGGCTGGGGACGGGGTGAGCAAAAATCAGTTTTCCAGATGAGGGGGCAGAGGCTGAGACAAGGTTAGTGATTTCCCTCAGGTTGTAATTTATATTAAGCTTATTCTTGGGATCCTGCTAACTAGTATTATTGACAAGTACTGAAATGTATTTTCAGACAGCGATGTGAACATCGAGTCAGTGAGAGTGATTTCATAAAAATGAAGAGGAAATGAAAATCACTTTAAAAAAATCTTCACATCCAAACACATCTTGTGCTTGGATGTGAAGGCTTATATGTAAATAAATGTTTTAAAATTATTAGTATTAATTACATTTTTTTCAAGTAGCCATGATGGCCATAGTACCTTCTTCTTTTTTTTTTTTTACTTTAAAATACTCCAAACTGTAAGTTTTTACCCTTTGTGAATAAAAATTGCCCTAAGGATATAAATTAGATGATACCTATCAAGTTCCTAACTTTAAGTTGCTTTTATTAACTTCCAGGATATTTCAGAAGCAACAGAGTACATATGTGCACTATATATTACATATATTCTTAGTTCACAGGTATTTTTGAAAATCAACATTATTACCATTCATCTGGTACAATTATAACTTCCTAGTTTTCTACGTTAATTTCAAACTTTTGGTGACCAAGAATAGCATTCTGTTTATATTCTTTATATTATGGTTTGTTGGGACAATCACTCAGAAAGTTCATTTATGTAGAAATGAAAAAGTCCTTATGTCTCAGGGTGGGATTCGCTGATATTCATGTGTGCGTGTGTGTGTGATATATTCTATATAAATGTGTTTTTCATGAAAAATTAGTATATAACATTGTAAGTAAGCTTTTAAAGACATTCTGATTCTTCATTTATAAGAATAATGAAAGTTAAGCTCTCTCTAAGGTAAAATCCATTGTAACATTTATAACTGCTATTACTATTATTATGGCTATTTTCAATTTAGTTTGCATCAGAAAAGCATTTTCAGTACACTTTTAAAAAAGGAATAGATAAGACTAAGAATAAAATCGATGTGACATTAAATGTGAACATAACATGTTTTCCAAATTAAGATACAATGTGATATTTTTGACTTTTATTTAAATCCTAAAAAAGATATGAGCTGGCAATGATGCTACTATTTTTTATCAGCAACAAGTGTTTTTTGAACACCTGGCATGGACAAAGTCCTAGTCCAAGCATGAAGCATCAACTCTGTCTTCTTACCTGGTTTATCAGAGTCTATGAACCTATAGCTTTATGTAATAAGAGTTAGTCTTTTTATTTTATTATTCTCTTATATGGCCCACTAGTTCTCACTTTGCAATATTTTGTCCAAAACTAAATACAAAGTTCATGTAGGGCAAAGTCACCTTCTATATTCTCCACAGGACTTATCATAGCATTGGCCAGTAGCAATTTTTTCAATGTTTACATAAGGAATTTCTTTGGATACAGTATAGTTTATATGTAAAATCTACTCACTGAAATGTTCTAAAATCAAGAGTTTCTGTATTTTTGGGTGGTGGTGAGGGTGAGGACAAAACTGTGTTCACTAAGACAGGCAATGAGACAAAGAGTCAGACTTTGATGATTATTATTTGGGAAAATGCTATGGCTAGAATAATTTCTAGAGTTTTACTTTATACATGTGATAATGTGTAGTTCCATTAAAAATATATATATAGATGTGGAGAACTTCATTATAATGCTGTACTGCAGATCGCTTGTTAAAGGGCAAAATTTTGCCTCAAGGAAATTCTGCTTCCTTAAACTCTAAAAGGACATCCTTGTAAGATTCACAGATGATCCTCAGGAGCAGCATTAGAGAAGGCAAGATATATGTAAACTTTTTTTTAATGATTCCCACGGCTACATTTAAAGTCTTAGAGGGTTTTGTTGACTGCAGGAGCCGAATTTCACAATGTACCTGCTGGATGCTGACATCAAGATTCCTTGATAAAGGAGAAGCACATTCTTTCAATACACCAGCTGGTGCTGGGGAGGGGGGCTTGCTGTCTGCTGTCAGAGAGGACGTGGTCGTTTGAGTCTTGGATTCTAGTTTCTTGCCCGCTGTGGCCGGTCTGTGGTGGCCAGAAGACCGGGCATCTCTTTTTCTGGGGGGTGTGGGGCAGTCCTGCTGTCCTCAGCCTTCCTCTCTGCCTCCTGCTTTCTAGTGACTCAATATCATGGAAACTTTTTTAGTCTGATTTCCTAAGATGCTTCAATTTGGTATGTGTTTTAATACTTTGGGGTTTTAAAATTACATTTAAAAAAACCAAGAAATGTTTATTACATTATTTTCTAAACTATCTGAATATATTTTACCATGTAAGAACATTTCTGTCATCATACAGTACACTGCTTTTCTAGGAGACTACAAAGAGTTCGCAAACCCTGTGAAATTTTATGCTCAGGAATGTGTTATGAGTGTTCCCGTGTTCATTTACTTTCTAGAGGAGAGCTCTAACTTTATTTCTCTATGAAATTATGGAAGCTTCCTTTAAGGGAAAGCTTAAGTTTCCCACGACCAGATCCCTGACTTAGGGTCGCCTAGCCTCAGTTTCCTACTTCGTGAGCCAGTAGGTTACTGCTCTACTACTGTGTGATGCAACCTGTCAGCTTGTTATACTGTTTTAACTGTTAAACAATTCTTCCTTTTACAAACACCCAAAGAATATTCCACCAGTGGAAGTTCTTCCACAGAGCAACCAGCTGCCTCAATGGAAAAGCACTGTATTCATGTTCTCCGGTGGTGCAAACTCCCTCTCGCTAACCAGCCATCCTCTTTTTCTTTTTACCCCATGCCAAACATCTCAGTCGATTTCAGGCTCAGATATGGGGGAGGGGAATCATCATCTTGGACTAGGTGAGTGCTGTGAACCATCCGCTCCAATGCCTCCTCTAGGATAATAATCGGTCACCAAATAGTGGCATGCTGAATGCTCCTGCCTCACTCAGATGCCTTACATTCTTCTCATGTGATTAGTACTTGCCATGTTGAAATTGTCATGCAACTCATGGTGACTGAGTTACTTACCAAGGAATCTGCCATGCTGCATGACAATGCTTGAGTTGAGCGAGGCTGGGAGAGAGTACGCCGAAGGGGAAAACGGTCTTTGATAGTAACTCATGGGACTCACGGCACCTCCAGAGTTTCCGTTCACTGTTACCTGGCTCTGGGGAAAGTGCAAAGGCATTCTGTTAAAGCACACAGTTCACTGTCAACATCATTCCTTTAGGTGATTATAAAAGACTTCCAGTCACACGGTAGTCATCAGCTGCCAAGTTTTTTATTTATTTTGAAAACCAACATCGGAGGGCAGGATATGTTCTCTCGGTGTCCTCTCTCTCTTCATTATTTCTCAAAATCACTCTCATGCATATTTGAGGGCCCAGGGGGTGGTTAGGAAAGCAGCTGACCGGTGGGCATGCCACTCTGCCAACAGCGATGCCAAATGCTATCGGTAGGATCTGTGCCCGATGGATGTGGAGGGTGACTTTGCTATTACAGTCATGACTCTGGTAGTCAGAACAGCCACGCTGATCTGCATGTGGGACTTGGAATGAATGTCCTCTGATACGAGGAGAGGGATTGGTCTCAAACTTGGTTCGGGACATCCTCTAGTGCAGCAGCCCTCAACCTTTCAGCATCAGGGACTGGTTTCATAAAAGACGATCTTTCCATGGACTGGGGGGCAGGGGGCACAATGGTTTCAGGATGATTCAAGCACATTACATTTATTGTGCACTCACTGATAGGGCTTTGATATGAATCTGCAGGCATTTGATTTATGATGGTCTCTGTGCAGTCAAATCTCACTGCTCATGTTAATCTGTATGTGCAGCCACTCCCCAGCGCTAGCATCACCATCTCAGATCATCGTGCATTAGATTCTCATAAGGAACCTGCAACCTAGATCCCTTGTGTGTGCAGGTCATAATAGGGTTTGCACTCCTATAGGAATCTAATGCCGCCACTGATCTGACAGAAGATGGAACTCAGGCAGTAATGTGAGCAATGGAAAGTACAGTAAATTTGCTTGCTCACCTGCTGCTCACCTGCTGCTGCGTGGCTGGATTCCCAACAGGCCATGAAGTGGTATCAGTCTGTGGCCTAGGAGGTTGGGAAGCCCTGCTCTAGTAAATGGATGTTTCCAGAGCAACGTGAATAGCATAAGGAACATAATTGTTTGAATTTATATATCATTAAGTAACCTATTCTAGCCTGGTAAAGCATCAGAAAGACATGCTAAATCACTGATTTCTTCCTATTTCAATCTCACTTAGCACTTTATGGGCCTCTGTTTCATCTCTTAATAATTTATTGTTTTGATGGCTTTATATCGGAGCTCTTATATCCTCAATAGCTTCTCAAGCTTCTTGTTGGAGATGGTCCTATATATGCTTCTTTCCTATTTTTTATAGCATGCAACCTGGTGCTAATGATATAGTGAATGTTCAAAAGATACCTATTTGGATTCAACAGAATCAGCTTAGTTCACAGAGGCTGAGATCAGAACTACCAAGCATGCCTGTCTATCCACAGCACAGCACTGAGCATTATGGAGAGTGCATAATGCATGCAAATAAGACAAAAACATTAGTAAGGACATTTGGTTAAAACCGCCTTATAGCTAAATACACACAAATATGCACACAGATGAAGAACCATCATTTGTGAACTTTTTCCTTCTTATTTTATTTATTTATTTATTTATTTATTCATTCATTCATTCATGCATTCATTTGAGTTGGAGTCTCACTCTGTCACCCAGACTGGAGTGCAGTGGCCGCTCCCGGCCACCGCAGCCTCGACCTGCCGGGCTCCGGCGATCCTTCCGCCTCAGCCTTCCGAGTAGCTGGAACTACAGGCGTGAGCTACCACGCCCGGCTAGTTTTTGATTTATTGTAGAGATGAGGTCTCGCCAAGGTTTCCCAGGTGGGTCTCGAACCCGCGGGCTCAGGCAATCCACTCACCTCGGCCTCCCAACAGCGTGGGATGACAGGCTGAGCCACCGAGCCCGGCCCTACTTATTTTAAAACAAAATAAACTTCTCTTCTACAGGCTTGAGACATAGATGGATAAGCAATTGTATATTTGTATAACTTCACTTTAAAGCAGATACATTTTCAAATGTTTTAGAATAAATCTAATTTCATTACTGTGAAGCCATACCACATATGTTCCCAAATCAATAAACATTTCATTACAAGGCTTGTGCCTATTGACTAAGGACTTCTCTAAGCTGTTGGAAAAATCACTCTCATGTCATGATCAGCCACATCTTGAAGTTGTTCTAAAAGCAAGAGAAGACAACTGGACACACAGGCCTGGCTGAGTCTTCAGAGCCTCTGATGAACGATTTGGGAACGATTTCATCTCCTCACCCAAATCAAGCTTCATGGATCTTTGTGAATATCGTCATAACACTCTTGTTATAATTGATCTTAAAAGCAAGAGAAAGCTTCTCATTAAAAACCATCAGATTACTATGTTACTAAACCTAGGAAACTTGCTCTGAATCTCATTTGATGGTTTCAAGAATATTGACCAGGGGTTAAAAAAAATACGCACAGAAAGTCGTTTTACTCTTATATTATATTAAACCTATCAGGATTTTACTAATAGCAAGTAGCATTATAATTTTAGAAAATGCTTTATTGTTATAGTGAATTATTAGGAAAAACATCTCATGGAGAATCTAGGTGCAATTTTAAATTGACGATAGAAATTAATCTCAGTTACATGCAGTGCTGATTGTGTTCACAAGGCTATATGTGTGACTCATAGGCTCCTGAAGAGTCTTACAAACAGAAAACTGAACAGGTTAGTCCATAAATGGATGTATTCTCACTACTTTGTATTTTTGGTTCATTCCTTAAGGTTTTTAAAGTTTAACCACATGAAGTAGAGCAGGACACAGGAGAGGTCCACACCTGCGGCTCCTGGCACCTGAGGCTGGTCACCTGCAGCGAGGTTAGGGGCTCTCGGTGGGGTTGACTCTAGAAACTCAGGCTCCTTCTGCAGCCAGTCTCAGAACGGAATGTGTCAGTGCAAAGTGACAAACCCAGCCATTGGATGAGTGCTAAATCCCATACCCCTAAAAGTATCTTTTGTTTTCTGTAATAGCAGTTTCTCACAAAAAAATATGGCTTATTATAACATTTCTCTGTGCATGAAATTTGCAGATTTATGAGCTTGGTGAAACATAAAATCTATGTAGCACAAACAAATGACAGTGCTTATTGGAACTTCATTATAATATCAGTTTTAGATGAAAAAATTCCTATTTTATTGCCTGAAGTTATGGGCCTTTCACATAGAAGCTATTATCTATTCATTACATGCAATGAGAGTCTGTGCTATAAAATGTTGAAGCATTTTAGTCATTTGTAAATCATTTGTTAGAAATGCTTATCATACAGTCACATTTAAATGATATAATATGCCTGGAAAATATTTATATATTGCTGTAAACGGAAGAAAAATTATTGATGTATAAAAACATGTATTCAAAAATTTCTGTACTGAAATGGCTCAGGAAAAATCGTTCCAGAAAATCACAGGGCTAAATTTCTATAATGCAGATTATTAACATCATCCGCTCCTGCATGACAGATGGGTTCAGAAAAAGTAGGTGTTAGAGAAAGAGCAGAAAGAGCAGCAAGAGAATTAGCACCATGCGGTCAGTAATCACATGTGTGAGAAACAAGGATATATAAACTATGGACACAAGACACATTAATACAAGTTTGCGAGGAAAACTCATCTACCAGGCATTCATCCTGGGTTACAATTTTTTAACAATTTCAGACTTTTTCTATGCTCTAACCAAGACATATGGTGATGTACACTTGTCTGAATTTCTGAGATGACTTCTTACTAAGGCCAATTACTGTATCACTCACTAGCTGCAGCATCACAATACAACATAAGTAAACCACTTTAGAGTCGCTGTAAGTCACCCTCGAATGACGAGTAGCTCCAAGTAAGCTCATGAGGATAACGCTGGTGGTTTCCCCTGACAGATGGGTTAGCCCAGCTTCCAAACCCACTCCTAGGGCAATGAAACTGCCCAGCGGCGAATGAGAGGACACCAAAGGAATCAGGCCTTGATAGAAAGAGGTGGAAGCAAAGGCAGGCAGAATAATTACATGAGTGGCCGCAGGGGTGGTGAGGGTGGTGCCATCTTTCACAGCAGCCCTCCGACCCCAGGTCGGGGAGGGTGTCTCAGGAGGTCAGGGGTGGCAGAGTCACACATCTGCAGCTCGGCTAGCAAGGCTGTGGAGGACTCACTCTCGGAGCGGGAGGAGCGCTCGCCCAGGGAGGAGTCTGTCGTGAGAGAGCTTGTGGCGGGCCATGGATAAGGCTTTCGGGAGCTGGGAGAGGGTGTTTAGACAAGCAGTGCGAAGGGCTCTGGGGCTTATGCAGGCGTGAAGTCCCCAACCCGTGGGGGCTGGATCTCCTGCCTGGGGGACAAGCGGGGCCTGGAGGAGAGGCTTCTGCTGTGGGTGGTCTGTGTGTCTGAGAAGCATTTACCTCCGACACACTGGCAGTTAAGTTCTGATTTCCAAGCTGGGTTTGTGGGAAAAAAATAAGAAGGAAAGATAAATGATCAATGAATCAAAACATCTCTTTTGGCAGTGTGGCAGGGAAGGCAACGCATTGGTTTTATTTGCAAGCACTTCAAGAAAACATACGCAGATGAATTAGGTACCAACCACACAGTGCGGAAAAAGCATGAAAACACGAGGAAAATGAATCCAGTCAGTGTGCTTTGGAAACCAGACCATTTTCCACACGGTACTGCAGTGTAATTTTGGGCAGGGGCTTGAGAGTATTGGCAGAATGAAACTTTTTCCTCAGAAGTTTTGGTTTTTGTACTTGTGACAATGAAGTGATATCAGAATGGATATTGATCAGCAGAATTGGTTTGCCTTCTACTAGAAAAAATATTTTAAGCATACTTCTCCTCCTGCCAAAATGTTCCAAAAATATAAATCAGTTTGTCTCATTTTTTGAACTTACAGATTGAAATATTGATCAAACCAAAAACAGCTAAGGGGAAAGGGTATTCGATTTTCTTTTCACTCATTAAAGCTCTGATTTCACTAGAGAACACTAAAATAATTGAACTCAAAAATATTCTCACAGTGCACATAGAGGTACCAGTGT